AAGAGTGAATACGTATGAAACACGGCAATATTGCCTTCTTATGAGCTATGATTTAAGGGAAAACATGTTTAAAAGAGTAATGCTCTTCCGGCTTTCTCCTGATAAAATTTGCTGAGGGGAGTTTGAACAAAAATTATGCAGTATATGGTATTACTGCAATACCTCCCGAGCCTACCTAGTATAATATTTTGTTTGGAGTTATGTAGGTAGTGCAGACATGGATGAATTAAACTGAAGCACACAAATGACTTATTTCTTAATACTTTTGCATTCTCCAGCTGCTATTGTTTTTGTGAGAAAGAAAAAAAAAAGTTTCTGTTAATCAACATCAAATTTCAGCAAAGACCAGCATAGCTGTCTACCAGCATGACCAGCAAAAGTTATAGCAGCCTATGTTGTATTTCGATGCTAGTGGACCAGGTTCATTAATGAGCTAGAAAGGGAAGTTTATGAACAAACTTCATGTTGGCATGAAAACAACTAGCTTATATAAAGTTGAAAAAAGTTTTATCAGTTTGTTTGGGGAACTTAAAGTGGAGTGTATGATGTCATCAAAAGTAGAGAACGGTAGTAGTTTAAATTTTCAATGAGTGAAATCTGATTTGCTGTTGGTGGCTCCGCCCCCTTTTCCTAACCTTGAATTGCAGGCACCAGCTCAGTACAGTCAGTAGCTGTGCCTATCGTCTGAGTTAGTGTGACCACCTGTCCCTGTTTTGCAAGTTTGATGAGTGTCGCTTCAACAGGATACAGTAATAATAATAATACTGTAATAGCAGTAATAATAATACGGTAATAATAATAATACTGTAGTAATAACACTAATAATATAATAATAACAACATAATAATGTTATAATAATAATAACAAGCTGAAAAAGAATAAGAGTATGTTCGTTTTTTCAAGCCAACATAAATATTTCTGGTGGACCAGCTTCATGTTCAGGCAGACCAGCTACACCAGCACGAAACCAGTACTAACCAGCATGGAAATCATGGCCGAAACGGTTTCACAGAAACCGCGTTAAACAACACAGTCAACATGGACAATATTCACTCCTTTGCAGGGTTATGACCGACTTCTCTTCGAACTGCTGTTGCTGTCAAAGCACTTATTGTTAAAGGTTCGGCACATCGATTAAAATCAAGATAAAAGGTTTTCTATATACAGATACAGTTGCAAAATATACATTAATAGCATATTAACTTGAGATGTACGGCTCTATAGTTAACAAAGCACTGCAAAAGTTCTAACATAAGACGTAACATTTTAACTTACATTCAACTGACGCCATTTGTCGGTTCTGTCAAATTTGTAAACTGTTCCTCTGCTAAACGTAGGAATTGTTTAAACTTAAAAAATGACCTGCCTTGAATTTTAATGTATTTTAACGTGGAATACTTTCGGTAATCGTTTCTTTATAAGTGCAATTTTAGGCTATCGAAGTCAACTTCTATGAGTACTTCTAAAAAGGCCTACGCCAAAGTGAGAACTAGACGTGCCACTTCCCCGTTTGTTCAGGGAGTCTCCGGAAGAGTTTTTTTTTAATAATGCTTTATTAGTACTTCAGGCATTTGATACAGCAGAGTGGATCAGGGCATAAATAAATCAGAAAGGACACGATGAAGAATAATGTAGGGACTTAAGTTACAAAAGCAATAAATACAATTCTTTACAAATACTGATAGTCTTTATGGCTTTGGAATTATTACAAATAGTTTGGAGGTATTGTTGAAATTCGTTTTCAAAAATAATAAACATAGGTGTTCTGTTGCAATATTTGCTTTTATGTATGTGAAATTTTGCCAGGATGATAAAAGGATTTATAAGATAGTATTCTTTCTGTTTAGAATGACAGATATGAAATCCAAACAACGTATCCTTAAATGAAAAAGTTTTCACACAAACATTGGCATACAAATTGAGATAAGTCTTTCCGAAACATAGTGACAAAATGGCAGTTCCAGAACAGATGTAAAATTGTTTCAGCATGGACATTACAAAAAGAGCAGTTTGTCTCAACATCTTTCTTCAACTTCTGTAAATAAAGATTTGTTGGGTAACAGNAAAAGAGCAGTTTGTCTCAACATCTTTCTTCAACTTCTGTAAATAAAGATTTGTTGGGTAACAGCTGTGTAGCAATTTATAACAAACATCGCAAGATTTATAAGGAATGACATATTTGGATGACAATTTTTTTTTCCCACAAAATATTTGAAACAAACCATCCCCAATATGAAATGCCTTTTGGTATAGTGACTGTGTTTTCTTGAGCCAAAGATTTAATTCTCCTGTTAAGAGCTGATGGACTCCAGCAAAAGCAAATCATTCCTACTTTAGTGTCATTTAGGTTCCAGGTATAAGGTTGGAAATCTCTAGCCACTCCTTTAAACAGAAACAATAACACCCTTGGGAATGGCATCCATTACAACAGCAAATGGAAATGAAAATGATCAACATACATACATCCATCTGGGTCAAAGGGGGTCCAGAGCCTATCCTAGGAGCTACAGGCTCAAGGCAGGGAACAACCCAAGACAGGGGGGCAGCCCATACACACACAGTGAGCACAGGACCCACTAGAGGACGTCGGGCCCTCAGGCCACCCTCATGAAATCTGTTTCTGATTGTTTGGTCAAAGATATTCACACCAGTGGCCTGCTGGAGGTCATTTTGTAGGGCTCTGGCAGTGCTCATCCTGTTCCTCCTTGCACAAAGGAGCAGATACCGGTCCTGCTGATGGGTTAAGGACCTTCTATGGCTCTGTCCAGCTCTCTAGAGAATCTCCTCCATGCCCTTGAGACTGGGAGACACAGCAAACCTTCTGGCAATGGCACGGATTGATGCACCATCCTGGAGGAGTTGGACTGTGCTGTGCAACTTCTGTAGGGTCCAGGTATCGCCTCATGCTACCAGTAGTGACTCTGACCGTAGCCAAATGCAAAACTAGTGGGAAAAAAAACAGAAAAGATGAGGATGGAAAAATGTCAGTGGCCTCCACCTGTTAAACCATTCCTGTTTTGGGGGGGTCATCTCATTTTTGCCCCTCTAGTGCACCTGTTGTTAATTTCATTAACACCAAAGCAGCTGAAACTGATTAACAACCCCCTCTGCTACTTAACTGACCAGATCAATATCCTAGAAGTTTAATTGACTTGATGCTATACTTGATATATTTGATGAAGAAGTGTTCCTTTAATTTTTTTGAGCAGTGTATATGTGGTGTTACTGTAATACCAGCCAAGCATTGGCCAGCGCCCCGCCCTCCCGGGTGCCTCTCTGAATATCCATAAGGTGGGATGTCTTTAATTTATAGGCATGTTTTCATAAGTGAACTTCTTGCGTAAACTGAGAACCATCTTTACATGAATAGTTGGCTCCCTCTTGTGGTGGGAAGGACTCAGCACCACCTATTTTACGTGGGGCCCAAAAGACATCAGTTTGGTNCAGCTATACATTGACGGGTCTTAGTTTTATGCCCCGAATAGGCTATCTGTAATACCTCTGACTTCCTGCTGGGGGCTGTCATCAGAAGTAGTCATACTGCCAGTGATTAGGCTCAAGTCCACTACAGAGTCTGTGATTGTAGCACTTACCGTCGTCTCCGTAACTTGATGGAAGTTTTACGAGGTGGGGTCGTTAAAGTGCTTGGTAAATAATGGAAATGAACGTGATTCTATGCCGTGAATGGCGAACGTTTGGAACTATTCACAGTCCCCATGACCTGGAAATTTGCCGGAAATTCCTCCGCCTTCTTTAAAATATGTCCCTATGTGAGTGTAACCACTCAGTTTTCTTTCATTTTGTAATGAATGAACATTGCAGAGAGGCGTTATATAACCATAATACAATATCAAGAAAAATACATGCTAGGGATCGCTATATACAATTCTAAAGAAATAACTTAAAGACACAGTGTTAAAGTTTTCATTGCTTTATTTGAAGAGGGTCTAATTGAACATATGTAGTGCTCAGTTTCTTTCTTAAAATACAGAGAACATGGTTTCCTATAAAGACATTTACACTCGTGAATATTAAACTCAGCTATGAAAACAATAAGATTTATCAGATGTTCCTGGGAATTTTTGCTGATTCTCAATGAGCCCAAACAATACATGTTTCCATAGAAGGACAGAATCAACCATAATATTCATAGAAATAAAGTCACATGCAATTTGCCAAAAAGTTTTAACAAACGGGCAATTCCAAAACAAATGAACAACAGTTTCTGGACATTCAGAATAAATAGATTAGATAATATATGGAGTGGAATCACATTCGAAATAGAGTTAGGATTTTGAAACAGCAAAAAAATGTTTGCGCATGTTGTTTAAAGAAGAAAATTTCAGTTCACCATTGTCATGAGTGTTCATAATAACTGTTTTTTTTTTAATATAGTGTCTTACAGGTCCATACAAAACTGGATTGTCAGCTTCTTTGCATATATTTTCAAGGTGTAAATGTGTTCTACCTTTGAAATTAAAACCCCACCCTTCAGTGATTGATTTAGTCTTTTTTGAATAATAGGGTTAAAATTTAGGGAACTTCTCACATGTTGTTCCTCAGTTATAGTTACTCCTAAGTATACAATATTTACAATATACAACATGTACAATAATAGGGTTCACAACATTCTTTGATAGCCATAAGTTCAGAGACACTCCAGACACTTTGGAAAATTCATGTATTACTTCACTAGTAATAGGCATCTACTTTTCATACTGTAGAAAAATAGTATCATCAGCTAATTGGGTTATATTTAATTCCCTGCCCATTAATGATAAACCCTTTAGAGCACTAGCATTTATATGGTAGGCAAGGAGTTGACTAACTAACAGAAAGAGTTATGGAGAGACTGGACAACCCTGTCTGATTCCTCTGGATATATCAAATCTATGGGAAGTACCACCTACAAGTTTTACACAGCTGTTACTATTATTATAAAGAGTTCTGATAGCTGCAGAAAAGCAATTTCCAAAGCCAAATTTCCTAAGTGTATCAAAATGAATAGGTGTTCTAGAGTCAAATGTCATATAAAAATCAACAAAAAGAATAAATCCATCATTATTATTCAATTCTGTGTAATCCAAGAGGTCCAAGACCAATCTTATATTATTTGTTATATGTCTTTTCTTCGTAAATTATTGAATTTCCTTCCAGCTAATATCAGTGCCATTATCTTATAATCATTATTTAATTAAGAAATTGGATGCCAGTTATCCAATATAAAGTTTGTCTTTGTTTGGTTTGGGAATCAGTGTAATCAGTCCCTGTGTTAAGGTTGTTGGAAGGTGCTGTTCCTTAATGCTTTCTATGAAATCCTCCAATAAAAAGGAGTCAGTTCTTTA